GCGTTTGCAAGCCTGTCAGAGAGGTGTGGTCGGAGCCAGATGGTCTCAATGCTATTGTGTGACTAATCTTCCAGGATGATGGCTACGTGGTTCCCATTGTGGATGGTTTAGGAGGCTGCAGGTTATGGCTACTGATCTATAACAGTGTCAATCTGATTATCGGTTTCTACCTCCATTGCTTGAGTAGGTGTCAGTAGGTGTAAGTACACTTACCTCTCGGCAGTAAGCTACCAATATGCCTTTTCCCATGCTTTTTCATCCCTTTCTACACAATAATGCTTTCAGATAAATCATGGTTGTACGATAGCAAAGTATACACTTCGAACATTTCTGCAATGCTGTCCAGGTTGATGATGTCATGCAGGCGAACAAGTCAGCAGCCCGTGCATTTCTGGAAAAGGACGTCAGGATGTTTGGTTTGATGCACTAATATCGTTGCTTGGCCTTCGTTAATCACTTTGAGTATCGTTTGGCAATGGAACACCGGACAAAGCAATGCTGTTTGTATTTCCGGCATTTGGGTCACGATGGTCCCTGTAGACTCTTGTTTGTCTCGTGCAAAGCTAGAGGTGCAATCCTCTTTCAGAGTTTTTCTAACTTATCCGTCATGCTTATAAGTTTGCGACCTTTTGGTCATACGTTGTTTTTAAACAACCATGTGCATTTCAAGAGTACCTTGAAACGACTCCGGAAAAATAAGTCTGGGTTTTAGTGCATGTGGACATTTTGCCTTGTCTATTCTACGCTCTGCTGCCTGGCGACCCAGGCTGGTACATAGCAAGCATAACTTCGTTCTGGATAGAGTCTCGTAGATTACGGCAAGACTGTTTGAGCACCCATGTATAGGAGCATTATATAAGTGATATTTCTAGGCTCCAAGTCGACGACTATTGCCTTCCAAACGCACTCGTGCAAATGCTCATGTCCCAAAAGTTTGAGTGTATCACACTTTCTTTTCATTTGCATACTTGCCCTAAAAAATTTCCCCTATGCTGTTCAACAAAGGCAATCTTTCCACAGCTTTCTTCTGATTGCGTCACCAGCAAGCGTTATGACGAGCTTCACTGTCTGAAGCCCGCACACAAAAATCTTGTCTAGCTGCCAACTATCCTTCGTGTCGAAATGGACCGTTGCAACTAGGTGGATTGTTTAAAGAGGCACGACCGTTTGGCACGTTCCACGCAATTACAAGGTGCGGATCCGTGCTGCGAAGGTGCATCCTATGATTGCTCGTACCGCCATTCAGGTGGAACGCTCTAAATTGTGAGCTGTTACGCGTGCACTGGAGATGTGCCAGCTCTTACAAATTCTGACGGATGAAGTCAGTGCGTATGTTTCAAACGCCCAAATTGCGTTTAGCCAGCTGCGCTTTATGCAACACCGAAAAGTTTCGCATTTTGTCTCGGAGGGATTTTGGCAACCTTATGCGGCTATGGCTCCTAGGCACTGTGGAGTAAATACTAAAAACAAAAATGTACTTTTGACAGCTGATATTCCAGAACAACAAGTCAATCAACCCGGATCAGCAAACCCACAAAAATTTGTTTGGGAAGTGAATCTTTAGCGAGTCGAAGGGTGCGTCCCTTAAACACTGCATTCTATAATGCAGGTTAAGAATGCCGAAAACATGCTCTGCATTCACCACTAAAATAAACCCAAGAAAATCGTCGTTTCCTCGACCCAGCTGATAGCGGTGGAACGCTAGGTGTATAAATGTGGCATGACTGGAAGGGCTCAGGGCGTTGCCGAGCTGGCGCTGTATTCCCAACTAAAACACAAGAAGACACGCTGGCTGCTGATTTATGGGCGGTATAATTCTTTGAGGCATTTGGATGTTCCTGCAATCTCGTTTTCTTTCCTTCTTACAAATAAATTTCTACGGCAACAACCTACCAGTGCGCATCATTGTTTTTAGGTCCACCGAAACACCTATAATACTTGGTAAAACGGGTGAAATATCCGTGGTATGTCAAAGGGGAAAGGATATATTGAAACTTTGGCGAATCCTGAGTTTGGGATCAGGTTAGCAGAGGGTCTTTCATCCATAAGCTTGAACAAGCGAGGGACGGAAAAATTAGAAGAGCAGCGCCTGTAGAGAAGTCGCAAATTATCTTAAATGAGAGCTTTAGTGTTAAGTCCGAAAGCATTTTGGGAGCGACGTGCTTGAAGACGCAACCATTTGTCTGTGGATAAGAATACAAAGATGCATGAGCTCCTGGTGGCCCTTCAGGTCTTGGTAAACTAAGATAATTAGCTAGCTATACAGCTATACAGCACTGTCATACCCGATGTGATGGCACCCCCGCAACCATTTTCTTCAGAATCTCAACCGTAACATCTCGCCCACTCAAGCCTGCAGCTGCAACTACGAGCAAATTTTTCAGCTGGCCCCGTCTCTGGGACGAGTTCTTTCGTACCTGATGAATTTTTGCTCAGATTTGGCCAGCCTGGTCTTCTGCTACAATTTCGGCTTGCCTTTTCCACAAGTTCAACTCCGTTACGGTGTTCGATCCGCTCTATGCATTACCACTATGTCTCCATCCAAACTATCCCTTGCACCTGACTTCCCTACAACAGTGCAACCAATGAGTCTGTTTTGTTTCAGATCAAACCACATTTTTAAGACGAAACTTGCCATATGCTCCAAATTCGAGTTGTTACATCTTCGTCTCCACTTTTGCTCGTTGTGACTCCGGCCGTTTACCCAACCGCTCAAGGGCGCTCATGGCCAGCAATGGTCTTTAGTTTTAGTTCATGTCTTTATATTGGATGGTGCTCATGCCCGTTGTTCCCTGCAAGTTGAGAAATAAACCTATTATTATTATTTCATCGGATATTTCCCACTGTTTATGACATTATCCTCTTTTCGCGCAATCCAAACTACCCGCACACCCCTAGTTATGCGTGATTCTGACTGTAAACGTAGGAGCATGCTAGACGGTATGCCGCGCACGAGTTGGGAATAAACATTATTATTATTATGAAGTTGTTTGGCGAGGCTCGAAGGGGCCGAAACAGGGCGCAGCGGTGAGACAAAGCCGTGGGTGTTGAGTCTGTTTTTGTTTTTGCGGTGAAGGAATAACTCGTCCCAGCTTTGCGCTGCAACACAATTTCGCAGGAATCCAATATATAGCAGGACAACTACAACATAATTTAAAGGGCGAAGGAAACTGTAGGGCAACCGAACATCCGGCTTTAGCATACGATGAGCTACTTGCCGCAGAAAGCATGAGGCCTGTCACATTGAAAGATTAGGAACAGCGACTGACCAAATTGCATATAAAGGACGTCAGCAGCGTTCTGAATACCTAGTCATCAGGTGGAATAAGTTCGCAAGATCTGTGGAATCTTGAAGAGTTTAAAATGACTGACGGAAATTCCGTTTTGACACTACACAACAAGTTTTTGAAGATGTTTCTTGTCTATGTGGTGAGAAAGCTGATGGAATTAAGCATTGGAAAAAAGATTGGAACCAAAGTGTTGGACCTTTACTGGTGGCCAAATGGAGGCAAAAATGAATGCTCGAAAAAGATCGAAATCGACGGAAATTCACACTTTTATTTCAGGGTACGAAGGGCAGTTGCCACTTTGCCAGGACCTCAAAACAGAAATAAAAGGCATGGACAATAATGGGGGCTTTGGAGCAATCGGAGTTCGGTGGCGAAGGACAAGTTTGGACAGGCTGTATTTGAGATGGCCAGAATGTGGTGCAGGATGGGCATCAAGAGGGGTCTGCGATTTAGAAATCTAGTGAATCGGCGCGGATTTATTCAAGACCGACTGGCACTAGACGAATTAGGGCGCGCTACTAAAAACTCCACTACATGAAAATTGTGTGCAAGTGTAGGCAAGATATACCGGTGTTAAACAATATTTTATTGGTGATATTTAGATCTCAGATGGTGTTTTCTAACAAAAGTGCGCGTAACGGCCGTGGAGAATGGCCCTTGTAATAAACCAAGAAGATATTTACAGGGCGCAGGAATCAGATATTCGGGAGAAGCCTGATAAAGGCGGTGGATTCTGGTGAGCGGGCCTAGCGAATCATCCATATATTTGAGAAAGGGCGTCTTCCTTGGGTGAAATGAAGACAATAATGCAAAGTTCAATGTAGGGTAAATGCCACCGCGTCGTCAGCATCTCAGGGCAGAGGTCATGGATCGCAATGAGTGCACATAGCCTAGTGAGGATGTCTTACAAAACCTTGATCTCGGGATGCAGATATGGGAGGGAAGAATTAGTGAGTAGTCCATTCAACTGAGCATTAAAAAGAACGTAAAAAACTGCCGCTGGTTAGCCAGCTGCGATTGGGCGAACAGCCAAAAAAAGTACCGGTTTCGAGGTGGTGATATTCAGAATGAAAATAGGGCCAAAATTGGCCGATAGTTTGGTGGAGTAGAGCCGTGCGTGTTCCTAGGAATGTGGTGCGGAGAATATTACAAGAGAATATTACTAGAGAATGGTGTTCACTGTTATTGGCTTTTATACTGTAGACTATAGGGCAAACGCTTAATATGCTGAATGCAAGATCTTCAAGACTTGGGTTTTTGACACGTTGTAGAATAACCGTCTGGTATAGATGAAAAACAAAATCCTGTCGGTTGATATCCGAACGCTGTGGAAATACAATGTGATAACAGACTCATTTGATGAGAACGTTTGACGCCGTCGTCAGCTACGAAACGGCTTATTCCATGAGAATCTAGCAGCTGGAATCGCGAGGAAAAGGGCTATTAGCTATGCTGGTTTGGTTCACGGATTCACGGATTGATACACAGGATCGAGGCTATTGCTCAAGTTTCCCGGGTTCTTGTCGGTCAGTAGCTGTCCTTCACCGGAGAGGCACAAGTGAAAAAAGGGTGTAGCACTGCTCTTAATGTTCTCAGCGCGGAACATTATGCTTGCCAGCGCGAGGAGACGCATAAATAAGTGTTTGATAATGCTTTAAACCGGGTACTAGAGGAAGAAAAAAATCGTTTAATGAATGTGTGTGCTCCGAGCTAGAAAACTTTCTTACTACGTCCCCGCCGGGTGTTTTCTGGGTCAACGGGAAAACGCCTGTTCGCCAAGCTTTGTTCAAACAGGGCGTAGGTAAGAATTAAGTACCCTGGGAGGCGACGGTACCCCAGGGGAAAGAGATCA